TTTCTAAACCTTATATTCATAATTTAAATACAGTAAATTCATAATTTTTATACAATAGATCAGATTCATAATTTCTATACTGCAGATTCATAATATCTGTACTATAGATTCATAATTTCTAAACTGTATAGTTATCAAATTATGAACATATAGTCATGTGACAATAATTTAGACTAGCGTTATTACAAAGTTGCAAATATTTATTTTAGTGACAAGAAAATCAATCTCTCATATATTATTTTGCATTTATATACTTTAAATTACCGATTTAAATAAACAAATTCAATATTTATTTACCTATGCATGAACATCTCTGATATAATATTGCATTGATATACTTTGAAATACTTATATAAAAATAATCATTGGGTATTATTTCATTCGCACAAAGCGCATAAAATAACTAGTATTCATAATATATGTTTAACAATTATGTCAACTCTAATCGGGATGTGGTTCGAACCTAAGACATTTCTTATATAAATTAATGAGTATGTTAAAAATAATAAATAGTTAACGGAATATTCCGTTACTAAAGTTTATACTAACGGAATAAGGGAAGAAAATAATATAATAGAGGGTAAATAAAGAAAATCATTAAAAAATACTAAAATCAAAATAAATGAACCATTCATTTTAAGAAACAACTACTACCGACATTTTTTTGTTCCAGTTAAGGGCCTAACATTATTGACTCTTATTAGATTTGTATTTGTATATGTATAGATTTGTAGATGTTAAGAGTTTATGTGTATTTATGTTAAGAGTTTATGTGTATTATGTTAAGAGTTAATGTGTATTATGTTAACTAGTTCTTTTACGCGCTTTGCGCGACGCCCAATAATTATTTTTAAATAAGTATTTCAAAGTATATCAATGCAATATTATATCGCAAATGTTCATGCATAGGTAAATAAATATTGAATTTGTTTATTTAAAGTATATAAATACAAGATAATATATGAGAGATTGATTATATTGTTACTAAAATAAATGTTTTAAACTTTGTAATAACGTTAGTCTAAATACTTAGGGGGGTGTATTCAATCAAGATTTTTAAAGAGTTTCAAAGACTTTTAAAGTGATGGATTTTTAATGACTTTTGTAGAGATTTTGTAGACTTTCATAGAATCTTTTAAACTTTCATCAACTTTGTAAGAGTCTTTAAAAATTCATAGGACAAACATTTATAGACTTTTAAAAACTTTTTCATATTAAAAAGTCTACAAAAGTCATTAAAACTCTAAATTGAATACACCCTTACAAACATTTCATAACTTTTATTAATATACTATTTATAATTTTTTTACAAAAATATATTTTTATAAACCATTAAATACTCTCCTCAGGTGCCCACAATGCATAATTTCCATTAAATTTATTTTTACCTTTACTCTTTTCTTGATCCCCCATTACTATAAAACAAATAAGAATCTCTCAAAAAATTCAACTTAACACAAATACATATATTAATAATTAATGAACAATAATAACATAAAATTATGTTAATTATATAAAACGAATTTGTAAAAATTTGAGTATATTAATTCTACTGGTTGCTTTCAAAAAAAAATTCTACTGATTGTAACAAAAATTTATAGAAGATTTCTGTTGCGAACAGCAGCATAACACCAGATTTAAGCAGATTTAAAATATGCTGCGAACAGTAGCAAGCTGCTGCTGTTCGCAGCATGTTCGCTGCTGCGAACAGAATTAAGAAAAGCAAAACAAAATTGCATAAATAAAAATAATAATAAATTATAAAGTATAGTATTGTGAAAAGTTTGAAACGTACCGTAAAATTTGGTAGAAATTGATGAAGAATTTGTCTGGTTTAAATAGAGAAAAAAGTCTGTAGAGAAAATTGAAAAGTTTGGGGTTGGAGGGTCGGATTTCATCTATTTATATTAATGAAGAAAAAGTCTACAGAAATCCTATTCTGATAGAGTCTATGAAAGTTGATAAATATTTGAATACCAGTAGACTTTTAAAGACTCTATAAAAGTCTGAAATGAATACCAGTATACTTTTAAAGACTTCTGAAAAGTCTGAATCGAATACCGGTAAACTTTTAAAGAGTCTTTAAAAGTCTAAATTGAATACCCCCAAACTTTGAAAGTCAGTAAAATTCTTTAAAACTCTTTAAAAGTCTGGATTGAATACACCCCCCTTAGTCTAAAAACGATAGTCTAAATAAATACTACTTTTGGTTTAAATTCCTCTAATTCTTCTTAAATTTTTTTTTGGTAGCATTGTCATTGTCTTCATCTTCTGTACATGTCCTTTTTTTTTTTTTATTGGTAGTGTGTCATGTGAAATTGGGTTACTGGTGGTAGCATAAATGGATTCATCGTGCAATGAGATTATGGTGTAGAAAGCTTTAGATTTACCTTGTTGTGTATATGATGGGATCTTAGTTATACTATTAACTCTTTATCTTACAAGCACCTATTGATATTTGGTAGTGGTAGTTTTTCCCTACATATTTCATTCATTGTGAAATGTGTGTCGTAGGTTATCATGTGAAAATATTGAACAAAATATTAATATTTATTATATTTGTATAAAATACTTGGTAAATAAATATTTATATAACATATTTTGTATTATAACTTTGATATTTAATTACAAGATAATGTAAAAAGAATACAATTGACAATGTATTGAATATAATAAATTATTAAATTTGAAGGTAATGAATCTTTGAATGGTAGAAAATAAAGATAATAAAACTAATGAAATTATCTCTTTTAAATTTTTTATAATGATTTTTTTTTTAAATAAAGGCATTATAGACATCTAAAATTCTAAATTAATTAAATGCATATGTTTTTTTTTTTTTTGTTGTAGCTACAAATTTATTTAATTTAATAAGAGTAATAAAGTGGCGTACATACTTTTCATCAACAATAATGAAATCATTGATTTTTTTTTTTAATTTACATTCGTTGTTAAGACAAACTGTTTTGAGAGTTTGTCAATGACAATTGTTACAATTCTTGTCAATAGAAGATGATAATAAATAATTCAAAATATATAGTTACAATAGATATTATTATAATGATATAATAAAAATTAATTTACAAATTTCTTTAGAAGTTTTAATGCATTGATAAAATTCTGATGTGTAAACTTGTTCAATTGGAGCCAATGGGATGTCAACATTGTCAAATTCTTTGGAAAATGGTCCTACCATTTTAAAGTTCAGGTGTAATTGTATTTATGATCAACAACTTTGTAGTTAGATCGCACAGGTCTGGCAATGTTGTAAGAACAATTTTGTCCGATAAAAAAATAATAGTATAATATTTGTAAAGTAATGTACAATAGTACCATTATAAAAATACATACAAAAATATTAATACCATAACTACCTAAATCATACCAGTAATGCAAAAGTAAAATAGAAATATTAAATTTTGTTCTGATCTAAATAATCAAAAGAAGATTAACTAAATGAAATTAAATGCATAAAAATTAAATGATTTTTAAAGTTATAGATTTATAATCTTTGATGTTTAACTTTGAATGTTATGTATTTAGTCGGACTAATTATTTGACCAAAGTTTATTTAAATTTTATATTATATATATTTTTAATACATTATAACATATCCGTAGTATATGTTTAACAATTATGCCAACTCTAATTGGGATGAGGTTCAAACCTATGACCTTTCTTATAGAAATTAATGAGTAAGTTAAAAAATAATAAATAGTTAACAGAATATTCCGTTACTAAAGTTTATACTAACGGAATTTAGGTTATTTAAGCGAAGAAAATAATATAATAGAGGGTAAATAAGGGAAATCATTTAAAAATACTAAAATCAAAATAATATGAACCATTCATTTTAAGAAACAATACTACCGACATTTTTTTTTGTTCCAGTTAAGGGCCTAACATTATTGGCTATTATTAAAATTGTAGATGTAGATTGTAGTTAGATAGTTTATGTGTATTATGTTAAAAATTTTTGTGTATTCTACTATACAATTCCGTACATACGAAACAGGAAATTTTTTAGGGCGTACAATTCATTGTGGGACCTGGTGCACAGTATAACGATTGGTTTATTAACAATCATTATTGTGTGGACCATGGTTAACACAAGTTGTGTGGACCATATTTTGTATACTGTAAAATAATGTACATTCAATACAAAAATAATGTATATTCAGTACAAAAATAATGTACATTGTATTCAGGGGATGTACATTATTTTTGTACTGAGTGTACATTATATTGTATAATGTACATTCAGTACAAAACTAATTTATATTTAGTATATTAAAATTTTACTTTTTATTATGATCCACATAACATTGTGTGGACCATGGTCCACACAATAATTTGCCGTTTATTAAGGATTGGGCTTGTTAGAGGCAGTCTAGATTTATTATTAGAGGGGACAACTTTTAATGGCAATTTATATCATGCACTACGGCGCACATAGCAATGTGCGCCCAGGCACAAAACACGCGCGTTTCATGCTGACGTCATACTGACATCACTTCGTCCATCCGAACAGACCAAACCTTATTATGTGTATTCAGTTAAAATTTTATGTGTATTGAGTTATGAGTTTATATGTATTCAGTTAAGAGGTTATGTGTATTATGTTAACCAAACACATTATGTGTATTCAGTTAAAAGTTTATGTGTATTGTGTTATGAGTTTATGTGTATTCAGTTAAAAATTTATGTGTATTATGTTAACCAAACCCATTATGTGTATTCAGTTAAAAGTTTATGTGTATTATGTGTTTTTTTGTTATGAGTTTATGTGCATTCGAAACAGAAGATTTTTTTTTAACAACTTAACAAAACGACGTCGTCTTGGGAGGCACGGGGTGCATAGTGTTATGTGCGCCCTGGTGCATCAATTGACTTTTAATATTCACAAAGCGATTTATCTATATATTTCTCCTATATTCTCGTTATTCTAACCCTGCCATTGCCTGCCGCTGACCGCACAACCAACAAAGAAGAAGAAGGTGATGGCGGTGGATTACTACAAGCAGGGACGGAGGTAAGTGTATGTTTAGGGGGGGGCCTTGGCCCCCCTCTCCCACCCCAAAATTTTTTAATATTATATATGTATTAAATTTTTTTTTAAAAATATTATATAGAATTTTAAAATTTTGTTGTTTTTTCAAAATATTTGGCTCCCCTCCACTTAATTAATCTTACAGGTAAAGTTATAAATTTTTTCATCTTCTCAACTTTTTCAGTTCTCTCCTATTTCAAATTATGTATTCCATATATTGTTGACTCACATTCAAATTAAATTTCATTTAACCTACTTACTAGTTTCTCTGCGTAGAACCATGCATATATGCGGCATATACGTTATAATAAGATAATTTGTCATTAACAAAATCTATGCATATTTTTCAAGTTAATTTTTATTTTTTATTTTTATTTATAACTACTTGTTTGGTTAATTTTTGTTTCATATTCTATTGTTTATCTTAAATAATTGTTTTGTTTGATTCTAAATCATGGATATCAAGTGCATTTGTTTGATTAATTATGTAAATTTGTGGTTGTGTGATAAATTTTGTATTTAATTTAAAATGCATAATAATGTAACAATTGTGTAGTATATGTATTTGAGAAAACAATTGCTATTATGTTATGTTGTGAAGAGGGTTTTTCAAGAAATAATCAATAGTCTTTTAAAACATGCGTGAATGTTTTCATTCTTTCAACCGTACAATGCAAAGTAATGTGCATTGAAAAGCATATTGCAAAATAATTTAATATAGATTCAATTATAAATAATTTATTCTAAACTTTATTGAATTTGTAATGTAATGATTATTTTGAGATATGTTAACGGGATATCAATGTATTTAATTTAGTACTTCAATCGTAGTTCGGCCCCCAGCATTGTTCCGTCCTGGCTCCGTCCCTGACTACCAGATATTGCAGGTGGGATAGGAATGCAAAAGATGAAGAATTGAAGAAAGCTTACAGAAATATGGTTATGAAGTGGCACCCTGATAAGAACCCCAAGAGAAAGAAAGAAGCTGCTGAGGCCAAATTCAAGCAGATTTGTGAAGCTTACGGTGTTTTAAGTGACCCGCGGAAGAGGGCAGTCTATGATCAACATAGAAGGAAAGGAGCGCCAGTTGAAACAAAGTTGGGTTGTCGCCTAGAGGAACTCTACAAGGGAACCCACAAAAAGATAAAAATCTCGAGGGAGATAATAGGTGATGAAAGTGGGGCAAGAAGGGTGGTAGAAGAGATCTTAACCATCCCAATCAAACCCGGTTTGAAGAAGGGAACAAAAGTCACATTCCCAGAGAAAGGGAACGAAGACCCAAATGTGATTCCTGCAGATATTGTGTTCATAATTGAGGAGAAACCACACAGCATGTTCACCAGAGAACGCAATGATCTAATCATGGTACAGAAAGTATCGCTGGCTGAAGCGTTAGCAGGCTATACAGTCCATTTGACGACGCTGGATGGGAGAAACTTGACAGTGCCTATCAACAGCATCATACACCCGAACTATGAAGAGGTGGTGGCAAGCGAAGGGATGCCGATACTTAAAGATCCCTCAAAGAGAGGCAATTTGAGGATCAAGTTCAACATCGAATTCCCAACTGGATTGACACCAGAGCACAAGGCTGGACTCAAGGAAATCCTTGCTTCCTAGCTAATCCTCAGAATTGAAGATAACATACATCCTATCTATCTCTTCCCCCTGTGATGCTGGCTTTCAAGTTCCATTATATATATCCATTGAATGCATGCAAAGATTTAGTACAGTTTTCAAAACTTGCTTTAATTTATTGCTAAGGATTTAGTCTTGTCTATTCACATATCAAAGCTGTGGTTGTGGTTTGTAAACCTGCTGTTTTACAAACATTATGCCATTATTTTCTCAGTATTTTGGAGGCTAAACTGAAAGTGCAAGTTAATTAGATACCATCAGCTGATGTTTTGGCAAAATTAGGTCCTTTCTGCGGCACATGGAAGCTGATAATAAAACCAATTTGACATACCTACTATCACTGCATTATTGTGATTATTGCAATTTTTACTATTCTACATAATTATATCACTTTAGGGTGGTTGGAAAATTGAAGATTTCCAACGGTAGATCTTCTATAAATTTTGAAGTCTCTTGTAGAACTTGATGACGACAGTGTATATCTTTTTGAATACTTCATATCTTGTTAAAATATCTTGATCTTTGTCAGTAATTGATTTTGAACTTGAGCATTCTATCTATTTGTAGTTGCATTTCGAATTTGTCGGTTGGAGGGAAAACAATTTGAATTACCCACTCGACAATAAAATAATATGTTTGAATTTGACAAGTGTAGAAGGCCTCTAACAACTACTTTAATTTCAACTTGTCTTTTAAGTTCATCTTAATGTGACTTTCAATGCTTCTTTCTTGAAAAGGCAAGTATCTATCTTGGATACTGTACCAATGTTTAAAAGTAGTAAGGATCTAGTAGAGAATGTTGGTTAAGATGTAAAGTTGTTTATCATCATTGTTTGTTATAAGCTTTACTACTTTATCTGATCTAAAGTTTTCTTGTGGCCTTGAAAAGTCTTGTTGTGGTCAAGTTTTATTGTATGTATAAATTGTGCTACTCCACATATGTTTACGACTTTGCATAGTATACCATAGTCTTTGAATTGTTTTATTCAAAGAATTTATGCACAACAACTTCTTGCTGCTATGTATTCAAGTTCAGTTATGTTGTACTTGTAGGAATAGATTTTTGTGATACTTTAGTATTGCTATAATGAAACTAGTGTATGAAAATGAAACTAAAACACATAGCACATTATTGTGAAATGAAACTGTAGTATAATTAAAATCATATTTTAGTATTTTTATAATGAAATTAGTCTGGGTGAAAAATGACACTAATTTAGAGCCATATAGTAATATATATTGTCAAATGAACCTTAAATTAAAATAATACTTCAGCATTACTATAATTAAAATAGTATTTGTGGAAAAAGAGCTCATTTATAATGTATATCGTCAAATGAAATTGTAATGAAAGTACAATGATACTTTGATATTGTTATAATGAATTTCTCCAAACCGGGATACAAGCTATATCATTTTCTACCATAGCTCCTCTGCCCCATGCAAATCCATCCGGCTTGTCTGGATTCCAGTGAACAACAAATACTCTTTGTTGATTAAGAGTTCTACTACATAGACTTACTCCCTCATTTATACTTTTTGAGGTGGCAAATTAGGATTGGTTATTTTCATCATGTGCGTTCACAGAAAAATGTCTATATCAAGAACATGTGAGAAGAAGTATAAGTTGGGAGTTTAAAATGAGAGTACACCAAGTATTTTCCGTTGATTAATTGCAGTGCCAGATCAGACAGCAGCCCTTTCAACTTATGCCATTTCCACCCAGATGTCACATCCCAGTAGTCAGCCACATAAAGAAATAGATCGTCAGGAGGAATTAAGCTAAGGTGATGGTCTCCTCCTTCATGGGATGATATATAGCCTATCCACCAATCTAACCAAAACAATGTTAGTTGACCTTCCATTCTTAATCACCTGCTTTCTTGTACCTTCCGATCAGCTTCCAGGAGGTTGTTGGCGCGGAAGGAGAACGAACAACGTAACCCTCGCTCGATCCATCTGCCTTCTTTGTCTCTAAGGACGTACCGCACCTCCTCCAGTAATTGAGTCTTCTCCTCTAAAGGAACCATCTACATTAAGAACCACCTGGGGAATCCGTCTGCCTCTTCCATTTCATTTGTCTTTCAAACGCTCTTCTGACCTCCATGTCAGGCTCTCTTAACCAATCCACCTTGTGTAGTGGTTCCATGGTGTAGTGGTTAGCACTCTGGACTTTGAATCCAGCGACCTGGGTTCAACTCCCGGTGGGACCTGTATTGTAGTCCCACATCCATTAATTGAGGTCTAAAATTGCTAAGGAAATGGTGCTGTTTTCCTCATCCATTTATGACAAAATACCAGCAAGAATAAGTCTTAACTATTATTTGTAGATTATCAAACTCCTCGGTTAACATCAATAAGATATAAGGCTTTCAAAGAAGATTTTGTTCACTTAGAAGTAGAGATTGAAGCACAGCTGAAGCCTATTTTTGTTGATTTTCTTTGGTGCGTAACAATTTGAAGAAATAATCATATTTATTTTTATCAGATTTTGGGGTGTTTGGAAAATTTAGTTGTTAGCTGATAGTTGATTACTTGCAAAATGATTTTCTCAAAAAGTTTATCAAAAAACATGTTTTGAGCAACTTTTGAATTTTATCATTCTTCCAAAAGGCTGAACCCCAACTCTAAGGGCACTTTTAAATTTTATCATTTTAGAGCAATAAGCTGTTATAAAAGTTAATTAATCACACACTTATATTGATTGTTTAACCAAGTCAAACAGCTAATAGTGGTCAAATATCTCAAAATTGACTGATAAGCTAACTATGTTACCAAACACGCCATTTATGTTGCATGAGATGAAATTATCTTGTGGATGTTAGGGAACATAGGATATTTTGAGCTGATTTTGGGGTTTGGAATTTTTTTAATTTTATTTATTTATTTTTTTGGAGAAGAAGAATTAGTAGCAATGAAAGGCAGGAATACTCACAACAACAATTCAGATTAACTCTTCTTTTCTCTGTAAACAATTTCCTACATAATGTATTACTATGTTTTATTTTTTCAATTCAAGGATAAATTGAAGTTTAAATTCTATTAAGATTTATTTAGCTTAATTTCTTTTACTTATATTATTTATATATCCTCCATTATATATATCTAAATTATTGCTTTATTGACTATTGCAAAAGGCCCTTTGTTGGGTTGTCAAGATATATATTAAATTTATATTTAGAATTTTGAATCCGTAATTGTTTAATTGTTTTAAAACTAGTAGCACAATTTGATTATGTTAACTTTGTTAGCCTGATTTAATAGTGAAAAACTATTCTGAAAATAAAAATATGGACTTAGTAAATTTCGGTATGTTACAAAATCCATTCCAACATCTATCATCAAAAGCAATGAAGAAAAAGAAAAAGAGACAAACAGAGTATAGAAAATCAAATTACACTAGAACGTAAAGAATAAGGAAATAACATATCGACATCATATATAAGCGCAGTTTAGAAACCACATATTATATTCTACAGGGCAAACACCCTAAGGTGATAGCCAAATTCACTATAGCATATATATTTAAGATATAAGATTTAAAAGGACTAATTTACACAATTGTAGAAACACATCTACCAATTATAACCCTAACCTAGTATCACTATATATACGATAACTTAGAACACACAAGATTTCTCCTTTCTAAACTAGGTACCTGAAAATTCCTCAAGCTCTATTATCTCTCTGGATGTTGAATTTTTTTGCTCTAAATGTTTTGCTGATCTTCTCCAATTAAATAGACATCTTCTTTATTCACAATTTTTGTTGAATTGAGATCTTATTCACAATCCATATTCCATAGGATATCTAGTATAGTTTTGCTTTGAATTATATATCTATTAAAACCTGTTTAAATTAAGATATATATTTCATATTGTAAGTAATATATAAAATATTACACATACAGACACATCATTAAGTCTTTAACTTTAATCCTTACCTCGATTCGTGACATGTATCATTTTATCTACTTGAATCTGATTATCAACTAAACAAACATGCCCTATTAGAATTTATAAATAAAAAAATATAAAACATTCGCCGGTATTGTTTGACGTACTCGTTATCACTTATCATTCATACTTTCAATAGCAACAACCTACAAATATCTTGTGCTAAGGCATCATGCCTCTTTACTTAATACAAGATAAGCTTACTTCATAAACTTATCAGTCTTACAATTCTTTGATTAATTATAACCATCAATATACCTATAAATTCTGTTATAATATACCTATAAATTCTTTAGAGTCATTAAAACGGGCTTAGCCCGTTCCACGCCGCCTAAAAGACAGGACGAGTTTTTAATCTTATGGTCTGTATTTTAGTAGGCTTTTTAGCTCGTCTTGTCAAAATGATGGGCCGATGGGGGCTCGCCAAGCCCGTCTAATATGTATATATTATTAATATTAGTACATATATATACACCATTTTATATAATTATATATAAATATATGTTTATTTATTTATTCATATTGAAAAAAAAAGTATTAGTAAATAGTACATTGTATAAATTATTTGTTATTGGTTTATAAATTAAAATATTATATATTTGATTATTTATTAGGACTTATTAGCTTTTATTTTTTAGTACTATTGACTCAACCTATATTCAATCAATGCCTCCAAGATTTCAAATCTATGACCTCTCAATTTGGGAGAGCCACAGTTATGCCGCTTGCAGTCGTTATATCGTGGACCATGATCCACAAAGCTTTGTTGATCATGGTCCAAAAACGGTGTCGTTTCTTTAATTAAAGAAACGGTTGTCGTTACATTAACGGAGCATGTATTTTTGGTGTGTTAATTACAAAATGAAATTACAGTGTATCTAAAATGAAATTGTCTCACATATTGTTTTTATATTATCAAAAAAAATTGTAATTGAATTGAAATAAAATTGTGGTAGTGTTGAAATGAAACTGCAATGTATATATATAAAATGAAACAATAACAGTTTCACATATTTGAGTGTATATTGTCAAATGAAACTGTAGTTATATCCAAATGATACTGTAGTTGTGTTGTAATGAAACTATAGTGTATATAAAATGAAACTGAATAACAGTTTCACATATTTGAGTGTATAATGTCGAATGAAACTGTAATTATATCGAAATGAAACTGTAGTTGTGTTGAAATGAAACTGCAATGTATATAAAAAGAAACTGTATGTTATACAAACAGAGCTACTTTATACGGAACGGTGTGAAATGGGTGCCATTTTTTTTTTATTAAAAAAAAAAATGGCGCAGTTTTAAACCATGATACACGGTATAATTTGTCTGCCACTTGACCACAAACAAAAACAATCATTATTTTAGATCAATTATATATATGTGGGGATATAATATACTGTCAAAAACAATCAAATTTAGACACCTATTAATTATTGAAATCAATTTTTTTAATTACAACTAATTGACCCTCCATCTTCGTCCATTTTGAAATGCCGCACATAATTTATTAATAAATAGTAATATTTAAATGCCACCTGGGATCAAAATATCTTCCCCCATTGGAGAATGTTTGGTCGAGCATTTCTAGCCTCACTTCTTATTTAATAGAGTTTGCCCACTTAGGGGAATTTATTAATTAATTAATCTTAACCAAAATGTTTAATGGCATTGTTTTTGTTGGCGTATAAACTTGGGAGCGGTAGGTACTAGGTGACATTAATCATTCGAATTAATTATCATTAATCATTCGAATTAATTATCATTAATTATTTGAAATAATTAATATTAACCAAATGGCTGACGCCATTGTTTTTGGTGGATTAGGTAATACGGATGTTAGAGCATGCCAATAAGGAAATTTTGGATAGTTTTTGGTGGATTAGGTAATACTTATACTTGTAATACACCTTGCAAGGTGGATCCAGGTCCACAACATAATTTGCCAGAAAAAAGATATATTGAGTTATTACAGAAAAATCTAGTTTTTGGAAGAAAAGTGAACCTCACTAAAAAAAATAAAAAGCATCAAATTCTTCTAGTGCGTGAAGCACACTAGAAGCACCCAATCGAACGCGTGCACTTCAGGCGTTAACATAGCTTTTTTCTTTCTTTTTTTTCCCTGAAAATTGATTTTTTTTTCTTCCCTTCTTCTCTCTTATTTGGCATCTTAAAATTTATACAAAAATCAAACTATTGAGGATGCTCTTAGAACATAAGACGGTATGGTTATAAGTATATACTTGACAAAAAAAAAAAAAAAAAAAAATCTCTTATCAGTAACTCTTGCCCTCTTGGTAGATAGGAACGAACTCAGTTTATAGCCCACTGAAATGCCAATATAACAGTTTTGCTTTAGCAAGCAATTTGCAGACAGTGACAACCGAAACAATCTGCCATTTTCTTGTGCCACTTGTGCAATCCTAGTCTATCACACAATACCATTCGGCCCCAGTTTCACCAATCAAATGATGTTCATCACCAAACACCAAAAAGGGGTAATGGTAGGAAGGGGATGGTTCCTTCAAATTCATTGGATAAGGCGTCAATAGGGGTAATCCCACCTAGGATTACAATAGATTCATACTTGTAATCATAAGGTTATGAGTTCAAATTCTTTTTCCCTTGATTGAGCCGGTCAGCTATGAATAACCTAAGTTGATTTACTTTCTCGCGGTCCTTTACCAACTAAGGCCACAAGACGGGTTTACCTACACCCGAAAGGGCGTCGATAATATGCAACCACCAGCAATCATTTTCTAGAATATCAAGGGAATAAAGAAAATTAACTACCTCAATTTTTCTTTTTGGCTTAAGGTCCTACCCACAGGATTATTCTCCGTACAATCGTTATGTTGTGCAACAGTTTGCACCACGGTTGCGAACGACGCCGTTCCACTATGGTGGAGTAACGGTGTCGTTAGTGGCACCGTTTAACTCCACCAATCAATTTTTTTTTTAAAGTGTCAAATTGGCCCCCTTAAGTCGAGTGGATAGTGCAATTGGATTTCCTAAGTGAAAAAAGCTTCATTCAGGTCCCCTAAACCTGTAAAATTGTTCAAGTCCAAGTTGACTTGTTTATCACGTTAAATGCATACGGTGTTGACACGTGTCCTTATTTTATTTTTTATTAAAAATATTATTTATTATAAATTAATTATAATAATAATAATAATAATTTAAAAAAATTAAAAAAAAAAAAACAGCCACGGCCGACGAAAGAAGACGGCCATGACCGTCTTCTAGAGCTAGACGAGGGCTACGGCCTTCGCCGCCACCCTCATTCCAGACGGAGGGGAGTAGACGTTCCAGTCCCCTCAATCTGGAACGAGGGCGGCGGCGAAGGCCGTAGCCCTCGTCCAGATCTAGAAGACGGCCATGGCCGTCTTCCTTCGTTGGCCATGGCCGTCTTCCTTAAAAAGTCGTGGCCGGACGGCCACGACTGTCCATGAAGAAGGAAGACAGCCACCGGCTGTCCACGCCGGACAGCCGGTGGCTTTATTTTTTTTTTTTTTTTATTTGCCTTCTTCATATATTGGGTCCTAGTATACGAGAAAACCTATGCTCACACCAAAAAAAAGAAGTTTGAATGATACCAGGGGTCCTATATACTCTGCCCAACAAGATTTCAAGCAATAAGACATAAGAAAGTTAGGATACATGCATATGCATGTGCAAAGATGGGCAGCCACCTACCTAATAGCACCAAGGAGAAAGCTGTTGCCAAGAAGACCAAATCACTTACGCATATGTAATACATTCAAGAAAGTGATGTAAAGTTGTAAATCAAGCAACTTTTTTTATCAGTCAGTGAGGAAGATAAGAATGATATTGCATACTTATCAATAAAAACATAATAGAAGAACAAAACCATATCTGCTGAGTCACTGAGTTACGGTGAAATACAGAGAATGAACATTGACAAGGCTCCTTTCAAATCATCTACAAGTGTTTACACTTGGAAGCACAACAATTAGGAGAAGTTTAGTAAAAGTAAAAAAGGATTGCATCCACAAATTCCAACCACTCATTGAAGGGCAATCATATATGGTGTAATATATTTCAGAAATGCACCTAAAATGATTCAAACAAATCATGATCATATAGCATACCATCTATGTCTATCCTTGATGGTCTTATTCTTGAGCATATAATATAGTCTCACAATTAAGTTCAATGTCCTTAAAGATTAGGTGATGAATATTATTTGATAATCACACCATCACCTACCAAAACCAAGTTACAACACAATCATTACAATAATACAATGTTAGTACAAACTTGTAAAAATGTAACATGAACAAGAACAAGTATTCTGCAAATTGTGAAATATATACAGATTTGATTCAACAACAATAGTGTTCATGTCCACAATACACAAATCACACCAATACAAACCTACAAGTTTGCAAACTGCAATGGATGGGCACAAGAAAAGCTAATGGGATCAAGAATAAGCCTAAACTGATTCACATTTGATACATACCAATTCATTTCAACTAAAAAAGAGTAAAACTAGAAGCAGACAATCTAAATTCATCCTGCAAAGCAAGAACCTTGAATCCACACCTGAGATTCGGAGCCATAACTAGTATTTACTCAAGTAGAGGGAGAGGTCCAAACGATGTCCTTAAGCGCTGGTCTAAGCTCTTTGCTGCAGAACTGATTGTATTCGAGAGTATCGCCACTAGCCTTCTTCACCTCCACAACTAAGAATGAAGGAGAGAAGGCAAATAAATCTGCAGAAATTCCAAGCTTCCCTTTCCTCCCACTCTCTTGACCCTGCAACCTAACACTAGAATCACTCTTCTTTATGCTAAAATTACTTGTTTTTGCCAGTTCTTCAAGCCTGGAAATCACACTGCTAGCGGGCTTAGTAGTGGCGAATCTTAGATCCTCCTTCTCCATCTTCTTCTTCTTCTCCTCAAACAGCGGGCTCAGATCGAACCCCTGAGACAAGGAGATGATATGGAAAGCATTCAAGGATTCCATTTCCTTAGTTTTCCCCAAACAACCTTCATCTTCCACAGTAAACTCTTCCTCTTCCTTGCTCCTTAAAGCCCTGGGGACAGATTTCTTGAACCAGGGAGAATCCATAATCTTGGAAATGGAGATTCTCGAATTCGGATTCGGATCCAGCATCTTGGTGATCAATTTCCTAGCGTCTGATGAAAACCAGGGCGGGCATTTGAAATCCCCCCTGTAAATTTTCCGGTACATGGCTACCACGTTTTCATCTTGGAAGGGCAAAAATCCGGCCAAGAGCACATACAGAATCACCCCACAAGACCATATATCAACCTTCGCCCCATCGTAGCCCTTCTTCCCGATCACCTCCGGCGCGACGTACGCCGGCGTCCCGCACGTGGTGTGCAGCAAGCCGTCCTGGCGGAGGTGATCGGAGAACGCGCTAAGCCCGAAATCCGTTACCTTCAAGTTCCCATCGTCGTCCAGCAACAGATTCTCCGGCTTCAAGTCCCTGTGGTAAACCCCGCGGCTGTGGCAGAAATCAACCGCGGAAATCAACTGCTGGAAGTAATTCCTCGCCAATTCCTCGCGTAACCGCCCCTTTGAGATCTTCGCGAACAGCTCGCCGCCGCGGACGAGCTCCATGGCGAAGTAAATCTTCGTCTTGCTCGCCATGACCTCGTAGAGTTCGACGATGTTGTGGTGCTTCACCATACTCATGACGGAGATTTCGCGCTTTATCTGTTCCATCATCCCGGCCTTCACCACCTTCTCCTTCCCCACGACCTTCATCGCCGAGCTCTTCCCCGTGTGCACGTTCCGCGCGTGGTACACCTTCGCGAAGGTTCCATGGCCTAGAAACCGCCCCAGCTCGTATTTCCCGTGCAAAACACTGCATTTTTCCTCGGCCGCCATTTCAGATTCCAATTTTGAATTTTTTTCCTTCTCTATTCGTTACTCCTTTCAAAGCTAATTTGAGTGTTTAATTTTGGGAACAATAAAAGGCTATAAAACAGAGGATTAGGAGATGTAGGAAGCAAAATAGATTGTAGGTATTCACCCGTCTTCGACGTGTTTCCGGTGACAATTCCTGCCGCCGATGTGCGGTAGTTTGTGGGGTCTCCCGGCGCCGACGAGCGGGTTAGCAACCGGAAAATATTTCATCTCTCTGCATTCCCTAGTGGGGGCCACTGAACACAAAGAAGGAAACTTTTTTTTTTCTTCCTCTTTAGGGACTTGGTGTTAAATTTATAGCCTGTTCAGGGATAAACATGTCAAATTACTTGTCTCAATCCGAGTGTAGAGTGTTGCATATCATGCTGCCGAGACGGGCGATACTTTTTTTTTTTTTTTTTTTAAATAAAGGACGTAGCCATATATTAATGAATGAAATGAGCAATAGAGTCAGGAGATACGGAGTTTCAAAATATAGAGTGTTTCTGATCAAAAGTTATCGAAGATAATGTATGCGCATGTAAATTAACAAACTTAGAAATAACATGTAACGAACAATGATTAAATAAAGATAAAGACGTCCTACATTGATCTATAACGACACCAACATAGGATCGAATAACCGTGGGAGCCTGGAGTAAAGAGTTCCGTAGCTGTGAGCAGTCCGTTAAAAGATCCACATCCATCACATCTCGTTCTCTGAGTCAAGATAATGCTTTTTTGCACGCAAGTGCTTCAGCCATAAGTGGTGATAAACATCCCGATAGATGTCCATTCGTGGCGGCCAAAAAGGTTCCGATTTGCGAGAGGAGAACCGCGCCGTAGGTGGCTTCTCCGGTGGATGGCCAAAAACCTGCGTCTACATAGCATTTCGGCATAGTCAGCGCTGTGGTCGAGACCGGTTCCGCTGCCGACTGCCGAGGATGCTGGCGGTGGACCTGTGCATACAAGCTCATGGCAGCAGCAGCTCGTCGCCATACCTGTACGTTTCTTTAAGTAGCGACTAAATCAGGAGTGGACTCCATATATATTTTACCACAAAATAGCCACTCAAAATTGTCATTTTAGCTAAAAATTTTAACAATTATATTTTATTCATATGGGTCTTGTTAGGTAAAATAGTTAGTCTATCAGTAAATTTTAGTTTATTTGATCACTATTAATTGTTTGACTTGAGTTAAAAAATTAATATAAATGTTTGGTCAATTAGCTTTTTGTAACTCTAAAATGTTAAAATTCAAAAATCTAGTCAAAATAATTTTTTCAATTAACTTTTTGAGAAAAGAAATGATACCAAACATCTATCAACTAACAATTAATTTATCAAATACCTTTCTACAATTAATCAATATTATTAACTAATTATACATTTTAATTAACCTAATCAACAACCACTTATCAAACCCAGCAAAAACATAAAATACTGAATTAACCGCTTCACGTGGAGGAGATGGCAACTGGCAAGACAATAATGCATCCCGCAAAATCTTTAACTTTTAAGCACTGCCAACATTTAGAGGGCTAAAAACCATGCACCGACTCACACTCACGACAGGTTTTTTTTTTTTTTTTTTTTTTTTTGAAAGTCTCACGACAGGTGAATACTGAATAATGCACAGTTTTTGTTTTTTGTGTTTGTTTTTTTTTTTTTTTCCTTTTAAGTTTTATTTGGCTTTAATGCAAATATATATATATATATATATATATATATATATATATATATATATATATATATATACTCCAAAAATCGTTCTGGGACGACATCAACTGATCAAAGGACCTAGTAATGTAAGGTTTTCCTTATGTATTATCATTATTATTATTATCAAGTTTATTATATAATAACAATAATATTTAAGTGGTGCAAATCAATAGGCTGACTAAGTATTAGAACTTAGTCAGCATTAGGTAATTAGTTACCTACATTGATGGGATGTAGGTTATTTAGACTCCCAAGTCCTCTCACTGCTCGGTTGACGTATCATACACCATCTAAAGTCACTGAGAGAAGTGAGAGAAACATAACTAAAACCTACGGAGATTTTACAGCAGCCCGAGGAACTTCTGCTCATCAGACCACGAGTCCCTGGTGATCAAGATCTAAAGCTATGGCTGGAGGTTGGTAATCTAAACTCTGTTTCAATAGCCACGTATCTACTAATTGTTACGTGGATTGTGTGCTTACATGTGGTATCCGAGCCAAGTTTTATCTCTGCCTAGCCTTTGATTCAATTGCATAATACAGTCATTTACATATGCTATACTGTCTTTGTATAATTTAGAATACATATGTAATGTGCAATTCTGTTGGGCTGCTGGAAATATTGTGTATTTTTTTTTTTCCGCATTTAGTTAAAAAAAAAAAAAATTCAGTTTTTTTTCCCCGTACTGCTCTGCGTTTTTTTTCTCCTTCGCCATTTGTTTTCTTCCCGTTCGCCGGCAAGGGGAGTGCTCGCCGGATTCCGTTCGCCGGCGATGCACGCCCCTCCGGTGGCGCTGGCTGACTCCCGCCAAGGACGGCGGTGGTGGCGGCACTGGGTTGCTCCCGATAGTGTCGACACCAACTGCCTCCTTCAATGGCGCGGAGGTGGCCGGCGGCGGAGACACGGACATGGCGTGGCGGCGATGGCGAGCGGTCTGGCGGTGGTGGTGGAGTGGGGTCCTCCCGGCTTCTCCGCCACTGCTTCTCCGTCTCGCCGATTTGGTTCTCCGTATCATCTGTTCGTGTTGCGCAGCGCAGATGAAGAAGATGATGAGATTTTGCTTTTTGGGCCGGGTCTGGCCCAATTCGGCCAGACCTAGGCTCCAAAAAAAAAAAAAAAAAAATTTTGGCTTTGGGCTTGCCAGAAATTTGGGCCTAAAAATTTGTTTGGGGCTTGCTGAATTTTTTTTTTTTTTTGGGGCCTGTTCTCTCTTCATCATATTTAGCTTCTTCTTATGGGTTTTATTCAAAATTTTTTTTCTAAAGTTGATATTAAATTATAATTACTTTGAACAAATTATTCTGTCTCAATTTGTTTGAATTTTAATTTAATATTGAATTTCAGTTTAAATTGTATTCAGTATTACAATTTAATTGTGGAGCATGAGTTATAATGTGCATAATCTGAGCATGTATTACTGTTTATTGCATTAATTTGATTGTTATAATTATGCATATGTTAGATAAGCATGTTCTTTAAGTATGAATCTAGTGCCTTTAAGTCTGAATTATATGCCTATTACGCATGTTATAGTGCCTTTAGGTGAATTTAGTGCCTTTTAAGGATAGATTAAGCATGTTAGTTTACTCATTCAGTTATTGCTCCGCTCGTGTCTTTCTAAAGCTATAAAGCACATAAAGTAAATCAAAGTTTTAGTTTACCCAAATTTAAAGCCTTATCCACAGGTTTATAACCATATTATAGATCTTTCAAACAATTTTACTTCAAATATGAGAATACATGACTTAGGGAAGTTTCTTGGGGAGGTATACTAGTTCTATGGCCCTGGCTTAAAGGCCTTGTTGCTACTAGTCCCCTTGCAACGCTACTCTGTCTAAGGAGTTGGTATTTAACCGAGCTTCGTCTCGACCAACTTTCCTGGGAGTATACCTAAAGATTGTCTATCATGTTATGGTTTAATCTGTTTGCTAGGCTTTAAATTACCTTTTGCCAAGTGATTACAATTTTGTGATTAAAGAGTAGCCACAGCATCTTTAATTGCTTAAATTGTATTTAGATTCACTCACATAAAGAGTTGGCAATATCCTTGTAGTTAATTCTATATGATATGGCAAAATTTAGCCCACAGGCAATTTTGTTGTATTTGTAGGATTGATTAGGACGAAATGCCAGGCTATGATCATAATTTGCCCACAGGGATTATGTATCGGCATATAGTTTTGGTAGTTTTGTCATCAAGGGTGGAAACACCCAAACCGTACCCATTCTGGTTTTCACCATTCAGTTTGGTAAATTCATTATGCGTAAAAATTCAGCCCACAGGCAATTTTTATGGCATTTGAATTTATCTTTTTGCATAAGTTTGCATTGGCAAAATATGCACTTTAGTTCTTTTGTGCCTCGAAAATCAAAACTAACAAACTCATAATTTCCTTTCAGAAACTATCCCAATTGTCTCACACGTTCAGGTCCCAATGCTTACTCCTAATAATTATAGAGAGTGGAATGATGCGCTCCTGATCTACTTTGGCATGAATGAGATGGACTATGCTATTCACCATCCCGCGCCTCCGGCTATAACCGCGACGAGCACTCAAGAAGCCAAAGACATTTGGGCTAAATAGGAGCGGCACAATCGCCTGTGCATGTTTTTCATTAAGTCTCGGGTTTCGAGTGATATACGCCGCACGATTGATAAGCTTAAAACAGCTCAAGAGTGTATTGAGGCCATTGCCAAGAAGTTTGAAACTTCAGACAAATCCCTAGCAAGCACCTTAATAATGCAGTTCACCTCCCTTCGTTATTCTCCTGCCGATGGTGTGCGCAGTCACATCATGCAACTTAGTGATATTGCAGCTCAACTAGACAAGTTGGAGATCAAGCTGCCAGACTCATTTGTGGTGCATTTTGCACTAAACACTCTCCCTCCTGAGTATAGCACCTTCAAAATTGCATATAACACACATGACAAGAAATGGACCATTAATGATCTAATTAATAAGTGCGTGCAAGAAGAAGGGAGACTACGTCAGGAACAAAAAGGGGAGAATGTCATGCTTGCAGTAGCAAAGCATAAAGGGAGATCTGGCAAGCGCCACACTGCAGCTAAAGGGAAAGCAAAATTATCCCCTCAGACTGACATTAAGAAAGCACAGAAATGCTTCTTCTGTAAGAAGAAGGGGCATATGAAGAAGGACTGTGCAAAGTTTAAGAAGTGGATGTCTGAGAAAGGTATGATCTCTTCCTTTGTTTGTTTTGAATCCAATATGTCAGATGTTAATGCTAACACTTGGTGGATCGATTCTGGTTCAACAATCCACATTGCAAATTCTTTACAGGATATGCAAAATCTGAGACAACCGATGTCAAATGAGCGAAACATCTTCTCCGGAAATAAGATGGGCTCGCCGGTTGAAGCTGTAGGGACTTGCAGGCTGATTTTAGACAGTGGTTTCGTTTTGAATTTAGAGAGGACATTTTACGTACCAACTTTTTCACGAAATTTGGTTTCTGTCTCAAGACTTGTACCGTTTGGATTCAATTTTATTTTTTCAGACAAGTATTTTAAATTGTTTGATAATTCTACTTGTATTGGAAATGGTACACTGTCTGATGGTCTTTATC